TTCCACCAACCAGTATAGTGTATTTATTTCATTTCCATATAAATGTTCAGGTCTGAAGATAATTTATCGAAAGCAAACATATGCTCGCCAATTTACCTTTTGATCAACTAAGGCTAATAAGGCCAGATAATAAACTAAATAGTAAACTAACGAAGAACTGGAATAAAATAAAACAAAACTCACTGAACTTAACTTAAATGCACTAAAATAAAATAATTAATAAAATGTAACAGGCTAATTAGTTATTCGCCTACAGTAAAGTAGGTAGTCGCTTATAAGGAATCCTTACGGGAGCGAGCTTGACATTAGAAACGCCATTCATAATATATAATCCCTTCCTCGGGGACTATCGTGTATGTGGTCCCACGCAGAGGACTCCTGTAATACGGAAATAGTGGTAACTGAAGTTTTATTGGTAGGGTGGACGCAAAGGAAAGATAGTTGTTTCCCGGAAGTCAAAGGTAAACATTTGCCCAATTACCTCAATACCCTGCTTAAATGCACCAATAAAGCTTAAAACGGTCAGCCTGTGATTTGAAGCACTGGGAATTGTGAAATTTACATTTTCGGAAAAACACAAACCCAATGAATTTGCTAGATATTCCAGGGAACGGAAGCGCTGTAACTTAATGGTCAATTGTATTGAAAGATAATATATTGAAAGTTCATTCTTAAGGCTGATTCTCTTGATGATCACGGCTTATGAGATAATTGCAATGGGAAACTTTGATAGCGTACCCTCTAGTCTTAAGCCTTTTTTAATTCAAACTCTAAGCCCCTAACACTAACCACTAAACCTAACCATAACCCCTTAGCCTCACTCTAACCTATAACCCAAACGATAACCCGTACCTTTTAATAGTGACCCTACCCCAATAGAAAAACAGCCACGAATTTGCCACGAATTACCACGACTGCACTAAACTTTCGCACGAGAAGTCGTATCCCATTTTAATTTAGACAGCGGGACCCCTTCCTCCTTTAAAAAACCTCTGCTTGCAGGAAATCTTGCGTAGCACTTTTCAGCGGTCTTTTTTGGCTATAAGAAGACTTTTTATATTAGAAATTATTTAAAAATAGGGCAACAGTAACTTACGTAGGCCCACTCATTAATCCCTACTCCCTGCATGTTTTCCTATGAAAACGGTAGTTATAGGGTTTTGTGGGTTAGGAATTAGGACCCAAAGTGGAATATGCTTTTATAAATACTAAATGCATTTTTATTTTAATGTATTTAGAAATGTTGTTGGTTTATATCTGTAGATTTCCCTAATCTGTATTATCGTTTAACGTATTGCGGGAAAACTCGATTATCAAATTGCAGGTTTCTTGAATTTCCCGAAAAATTGAAATTTACTTCAACTTACCTGTGGTCCAACTTACCGTTCTGGAGTTAGATTAGTATTTAGGAGGTTGTCTACTTCAACTTACCTGAGGTACAACTTACCGTTCTGGAGTTAGATTAGTAAAGTCTGCGGCAAGAGGCGCCGCGCACACCTTCAACTCATATGCGGAACAACTTACTCCTAGCAGCCGCGGGAAGCAAATTCGACTACATTTTCTTCACTTTACACTTACTTCTAAAATTTCCTTCTCTGCCTCATCCTATTTCCCCACACCCCAAAACTCTATAACCACCGTTTTTGCAGGAGAACATGCAGGGAGTAGGGATTAATGAGAGGACCTACATAAGCTACTTTTGTCAAAAATAGTTAAAGAAAAAACATTCGGCTCACCATGGAACTTAGGGGCACCTCGACGGGCTGACTTCCGACGCGCTTAATCAACCGCTTGGGAATCTGAAACCAGGGGAAAAGACGAAGGCAGCAGTGTGCAAATGAAGGTACGTGGCAATTGTTTGCGTTCATTCACCATTAGGTACTTTCTTTCAGCACTGACCTTCGTGCCCCGTTTTAGAGGGCGGTCGTAAGCCTTCTTAAAAGTGCACACAACTGCCTCCCTTAAGTTATGCGAATCGATTGTACGGGAACCGTTCTCATTTTATCAGCCTGTGACAAAAAAGAGTTAGAACAAAAACAGCATATCTTACACAGGATAACGTTGTAGGCATCCATGCGGAATAACGACCGTTTTCCTTGTTGGCGTCCATCACAGATAAGCTCCCCTTTTATGCAGACGCAGTATCTGCACCCATTGAGACAAAGTAGGCCGTCTGGTAACGTACGTTTATTGTACTGGGTTACTTATCGCCCGCTGCCCGTATTCCGACTGGCATAGGTCGTTCTAACAGTCTGAAGGCATAGTAGCATTGTTAGGACGGCCTAACCAACAGCCTTATCAATCTGTTAGCCTGCAAGCAATAGTCGCACTCAAAGCAGGCTATCGATCGGCCTACACGGGCAAACGTACACAATCCCTCAATCAATCGATAATTCAGAATTCAAGTTGAATGTCAGCCTCTGAGTCACAGCCAATCAAACCGGTGGCCAATCTAGAAGAGAAGATGATTGGCTCGTGGACCTATCTTGCACACGTTCGTTGCCCTAAAGTTGTTGTACCTTTTTCTCTCAAAGACTTCTGCTGTTGCGAACTTCTTGTCGTGTTCTCGCTTTGGGAACTCATGCAAGGCCTTATTGGGCGGTGATATCTCGGCCTGGGCTACCATTACAACAAACATTGCTGTCCGAATCGTGCGACTGAGACTCCTAAATCAACAGTAAGTACCGCAATTGGGTCACTTACAGAGGACGGATAACGATTAGAAATGCCCGCGGTGGTTGCAGAGAAGTAGTTATTCAAGTTAACTGGATACTGTCTACTTCTTTTTGATCTGCTTCGTTGTGTCTCATCGTCTGACATAGTAAGCTGCAACACAACAGACGCGAATAACCTCCTC